CGTTGGAAGGGTGTATTTTATGTGACGAGGAGATCATGGGATTATTAGAGAATAAGTAAGCATATGTTTATTTAATTCGTTAATTCTGATCGTCTCCTTTTTTAATATAATCATAATCCTCCAGGTTCGCGAGACAAGGACGAGGTAGGGGGAGAGGGAGAGGCGGAAGACGTGGAAGAGGCAGAAGAGGTAGAAGAGGCGGCGGACGGGGTGGTGGGCGTAGTGATAGAAAAAATTAAGTAGGATACTATTGATTTTATATTTAATACGATATCCTTGTAACAAATTTAAAATGAGGCAAGAAAAAACGTAGGCGTTTTCCAGCTGTCATCTACAAACAAAGCATCAACACTTTATTTTCTAAAGTTTGACCACGTGGTTTTTATATTATCGAGATTCATCATTTTGTCAGACAAAAAAAAAACAACAAATAAATATCGCTATTTATTTTTAATAATAGTAATTATTTAATATTACCTGATTATTGATGATTATTATACCATTGTAATGGTTCAATATTCTTTATAAAATATAAATAAGTCGCGTTTTTGTATGTTTGAGCAAGATAATATCAACAACAAAGTATCGTGAAGCAGAGATCAGAAAAACATGAAATTTTATCAAGGGATAAATGAAAAGAAAAAGATCCATTACGCAAGGGTCAACTCAGAGAAACAGAGAGAGGATCTTACAGGCAATGCGAGTACCTCAAGCAAAAATGGCAGACTAAAAATTCACAGAAACATTGGGTCAGATCTCAAACGTTCATATCCATTTTGGAACGATCGTACCGAGGAGATGTCAAGAAGGTTGTGGTTACCAGGAAGGATCGGCTCTACAGATTTGCGTACGAGCTTGTCGAATGGATTCCTGGCAAGAATGTACAAAGACCGTGATAATCGGTTCGGGCGTCAACATTAATGACACCGAATTCAGTGAGCTTGCCAAGTACCTATTATAGATCATTATTATCTTCTCAGCAAGGCACAATGGGCTCATATTAGCTGGAAACCGAAAACGACAAAGGGAGATTAAAATCACGAACGATACGGATTTACCCAACACCCTAAGAAAGTGAATGAGAACTGTGAGATGGACGTACAACAAGGTTCTTTAGATGGTGCAGGACGATGGAATTACTGACAAGCATCATACGAAAGCACTACCTGAACGATGAGTGCTTCACAACTGAAGAACTCCTCTGGGCAAAAGAGATCCTAGGGAAATACGTTCATACGCGATTCGATAATTGATGACAGCATACAAAACAAATAAGAAGTTGCATGGAAATAATTTTCGAATGAAGTACTGATCAAAGAAGGATCGAACACAAACCATCTCGATTCTTGCTAGGGATTGAAATAGGAAAAGAAGATAATACGCGTTCCTAAAAAATATTATCACCTCAAAACCATTACCAGATATCAACAAACAAGAGAAAGAAATTCCGATTGAGAAAAATGCACCGAAGAGTATGCATCAAAGATCGTGTGGGAATTGTAAAAATGATCTCGGTGGATCAAAAACGTTTAAATGTGATTCGTGCGAGGTGGAGATGGATCGAGACGTGAATGGTGACAGAAATATCTTGCTCAAATATTTAGATTTTGGTCTGTCCTTGGGACTTGAAGCTATACATGCATAGTAAAGACTAACTTTATTTATTTATATTGGAATCAATTTCAAGGGCCTTCGTAACTCATTGAAAATCATAGTATATAGTAGTGAATAAAGTTATGTTAATATAATATAATAACGTTTATTTATATAATAATTGAATATAATTTTATAACTTATACTGTAAATTTTTATTCTAATAACGTGTATACGTATATAATATAGTAAGCAGATCTGCAGCTTGTGAAAAAGGAAATGCTTTTTCGTATTGGTCAATTCTGCTACTTAACGTAAGAATCGACGCGTTTTTCCCGTATCACATAGCCCTTTTACTTGAAAATTTTAATACAGTCACCTTAGACTATTATCTTGGAGACAGTATGAGTTTGGTACAATTAAGTAAGCACAAAAATTCGCTTAAATAATGTTTGACAATGTTTCAAACTATAATAAATTAATTACCTTTCACCCTAATATTTTAGAAATCACTGATTTTACGACCGGTCCGTCAGGAAAATTTGTTCTCGATAGAGCATTAAAAAAAAACAAAAGGTATCGGTTTCAAGTGCCTCAATTACCATTCGAATGCATCGAAGAAATAGTTGAGAATTTAATCGAAGATCACGAGGCCTTGCACTCTTGTATATTGGTCGATAGACTCTGGTGTCGCATTAGCATGCCCATCCTATGGAGATTTCCTCAAAACTTTAGCATCAATCATCAAAATTTTTGGTCAAAGATCGTCAAGCCGATTCTGTCGTGTATGAATACGACATCTCTGGAACTTATAAAGGCCATAGGGTGTAAACTGGTTGATTCGATTCAACGACCACCTCTATTCGATTATGTTGGGTATATGCAAAAACTTACGTGTTGCGATGTACATAACATAATAGAATACATCCTACCAGAACTGGGACGAAACGAGAATTCAATATTACATAATAGTCTAGTGGAAAGGGTGTACAACCTCTTCTTAAACGGAGGATCAAGGTTATTCTACTTTGAGATTCCAAACATTCCAATCTGTTATCATTTATGTGCGACTTCGAAGCTCTCGAATTTACAGATATTCGAATGCGATCTCGACACTTCACCGATGTATTTTTATGAGATGGCCAAGTATTGCAATAGTATTCAACAGTTGCTCATTTTTATAGATGATTGTGTCCAAGAAAATTTCGGACTGGTGACTCTGATTAAATCTCAACGGTGTTTGAGATACGTAAGAATTCGATCAGTCGCATGGAAATCTCAAATGAGGGTTTGTTTACATGAACTGGCGAAAGCTATCAAGGGTCATTCTGCCACCTTGACCTATTTCGAAATATCGGGTTACATCTGTCTTCCAGTAAGCATCATTGAAGCGTTCGAAAATCTGAAAACGTTGGTGATTTCGATGGATTATCATAGCACTCAGGAGTTATCAGTCACAAGCTTTCCTAAGCTGGAAGAGCTTGAAATTCAATATGATGAATTTACGCAGTTTAGTACTTACATGGGTATTATCAGTAAAACGCGTGGAACACTTAAAAGAATCTTTTGGCAATTTATGGACTTTGCTCATGACTTAGATGTCGATACTTATGCCCGAACCATAATAAAATCTTGTCCAAACCTTAGATTTATTTCCTTATATATCGAAAAAAGTTCAATTGGCTCTTTGGAGAAAATCCTGAGATCGTGTAAGTTGCTGGAAGGAATCGATATTCAGACGAGCGTGAGGTCGGATTCATCTTTAACAACTTTGGCGCTTGAGCTGTTGGGCAAACATGCACCAAAAGGTTTGTCCATGATTGTGATGGATGTATTTGGATGTGAGATTTTGTCCGAAGCATTAGAAATGTTTCTAGACGAATGGTGGGGGCAAAAAAGAAAACCGCTTGGATTGTACATAAATATGGAGAAACCATCCCAGGAAATCCTCGATATCGTCGAATGGTATAAGTTTAAAGGAGTTTTCAAGGAGTTCTGCTATCGCAACACGACACCATTCTACGAAATCGATTCGATTCGTAAAGTTTGGCGGTCCGACTTTCCTTTCGAATTACCTTAGTGTTTAATTATAATTTACATGCGAGATAACCCCCCTATAAAAATTCTTTTTTAAAGACTTTTCGTGCCTTATCATTTTTAACAAAAAACCTTTCACTTTTAAATAATCGTTGAAGCTTTCCGAAAGAATGCTATTGAAAATAGTAAACTGGTAGTATAATTATCTCATCCGTTGTATAATTTAGCAGAGGATTATATAAGCAATGCCAAGATGAATATAAACTAAATAAGAAACGTACTTTAATCCATTTGTTAACAATTTTCATAGGTACAGTATCATTAATAAAAATTCACGGGATTATAAATTATGATCTTGCTTTTACCTTTCCTGTTATCTAAGAGTTGATATAACAATAATTGATATACTGTACTGTATTTTAAAAAATTTTTTAAATAAATTTGAATACTCTATATTATAATTATAAATAGATAAATATATCCCGTATATACAGTATATACATAATATCCAGTACATATAAATCTAAAATAATAACGAACATATTTTTTTTATTTGGAATTTTAATAGATGATGATTTTAAATTAAAAATGAAATTTTGAAATCCTGATATACATATAACACCCAAAATTATCATTATTTGTAATTTTTTTTTCAAATCTCCGTATAAAAAATTTTTTTATTAAACGATGATGTTTTTTTGAATATATCTTTCCTTTTTTTACAACACACCGTATGTTATAAGATAAATAGTAGTTAAGACAACCACGCACGTGTATATTGGTCTAAATCGATTATATGGTAATTCAACACGTATCGATCAGGTCAACTTACATTTACAGTATTTATTTCATTGTATAGAACTCGTTTAGGCATTATGCATAACTTAATTTTTTAACATTTAAATTGTTTAAAAAAAATAAAGGAAACGAAACGAAACGTATGCTTGAATGAAAAATAGACACTCATAAAACCATTTTCGTTTTTAATATGTCGCCATGCTCACCAAACCAAATATGGAAAGAAGGTGTTTGGTGTCATAAACTGTGCATGGGGGACAGTAATTCGTTATACCAATCCTCTATTTATTGGAATGTTAAAGTTTTCATGGGAGTGTCCGTCCGAATCACATTTCATAATGAAAAATCCATCATACCGATATCCCAGAACATCAAGTTTACACAGAACAATTTTATGCTTAATATGTCTTCTTACAATTGTGGGTCATGCACAGGGATTCAGGATTTTAAAGAAATCTCATTACATAGTAAAAAAATCCTCAGCGTATTCGGGTATAACTATTAGAGATGACAATGGACCAACGGTAAACCAAGCGGCAATACCGTTTCCGCACGTATTTGAAGAAATATATCCCGAAGATTACTTGGACTTTTTAGTTCTTGGGGATTGGGGATACCAGGCGAAAGGAGTTGGAGAGAAAAAAGGTGATCAAGTCCACGTCGCTTCTGCCATGGAAAACATGACTCAAGAGTATGGAACGCAGTTTATAATTAATGTTGGGGGTGAGTGTTAATCCAATAACGAAATTAAAAAATTTTGGACGCACTTATAATGCTTCCTTTTGTTTTCAGATAGCTTTTACAAAAGTCACCGAGATGATTATCAAGGAGTCAACAGTGTTGACGACAATAAATGGAAAACGGTTTGGTCAGACGTTTATCACGGAAGATTGGCAGAAATACCCTGGTACAGCGTTGCAGGAAACCACGATTGGTTTGTACACTCATTTCCCTCACTGACCACTTCTCATGATAATTCAAACCAGTTATTTTTTCCATTTATTAGGTATAATAATGTAACGGCGGAAGTTGATTATTTTTGGACTAAAAATCATAGATTCTTTCTCCCTGCATTATTCTACGTACGTCACTCCTACTTTGGACCCCAAAGGATAAAGGTCACGTGGATACACATAGATACCAACATATTTTATTATGATTACGGATATTTAGATGACAGGAATTCACTCAAAAGCAACTTTCGTGCCTTTGAAATGGACAAACCAGGAATGATTACTGATAGGTTGAAGTGGATTGAAGAGAAATTAGAAGAAAATCAAGATTCCAAGTGGATTTTCGTTGTTGGTACGTGATCCCAATAATTCTTGTAAACTTTCTCCGACACCTAAATACACGCTTTTAAAACCACATATATACATACACTTCCTACACAAGGACACCACCCGCTAATTGGATCATGTGCAAGTAAACATTTAATGTCCCGCCTTCCACTGCTATTCAAAATATATGGAGTTACAGCCTATTTCTCGGGTCATAGCCATACACTGGAATACCAATCGTCAAAGCTTTCATCACCAACTACCTATTTTACTTCGGGAAGTGGTAGTAGATTCGGTTCTGGGTGTGATGGCAAAGATTGGGGTGTGCCATCTGGGACTCTGGGATTTTTACATGTGAGAATCAATGGCAATAGTAGTAAATTAGATTTTCAATATGTGAATGCTACAACATACGAGTCAGAAATTCTACATCAAGGAACGGTTGATGCCATACCTTTTATATATCCAAAGGAATATTAATGGGGAAAATAATTATTAGATTAAAAAAAAAGAAAATCATAGACATCGTATATTCTTGTCAATTAAATATATAAATAGGCGTGGTCAATTTCCGTATGGCCAAACCAGTCAATTGATCGTTTCCGATTAGGAATAGTAAAGACCCGCTAGGTACGCGTCACTCGATAGGCTGAACTTTTTTTCGCGCGATGTTTCCTTAAAATCCAGAAAAAGCGCACCTATACACTGCATTTCGATCTCATAATCCAGGGTACTTAATGATGTGTTTACAAAGATTTAAAACGTTTCGATGTCACCAAACTTGCTCTTTACCGCTAATAACGAGAAAATGCTCGTTAGGATATAATATTTGCATCGACCTTTATGACTTAAAGGTAATTTATAGAATTGCCGTATCCGACACGAAAGCCTTACCAAATATTTACTGAAACACGAGACTGTAGATGCAGCGATTTAAAGTTTAGAACCTTCGATCAAATGCAGTACCAGTTCTACTGTACATAGTTACTCCCATCGATATTACGAATTTGAATGGGCTAATATCATTAAAAAACAGCTCTTAAATTTTATTTATATATCCATCTTCTTATGAGACCTACTGTATATTAAATTGACTTTTTACTATCACTGCACGGCTACTCTATCATTGAGTATTAGATGGAAGAATATTGAATATTGCGTTACTGGCTGATAATATTTAATGGTTTTTTTTTCTAAGGCGAAAATTTAGTTGATTTCCAGATATTTATCACAAAAGTAATATGGTTCTTGGTAAATATTCTCTTTGCCTTCCTCTTTTTTCTATCGCTTAAGTTTTTTATATTTGGTTATACTTTCATTTTTACATAATGTTTATTAATGGTGAAGCTTTAACTATTAGGTCTAGAAAACGTGCTGGTTTCTGTGTTAAGAGAAAAATTACAGGTATCACGTCATATCATCATGTAATATGCTGTATATTTTTTATCTTAATAAAACTGTTAGACATTGTACAATCGGACACAGACCCTAATATGTAGCATCACATGATTTATAATATTTCATAGCCATCGACCGGCTGTATTCTTTGGTGTCTTCAATAAAAAAAAATGCCAAAAAAATTTAAAGGAGAAAATTCAAAAGGTAATTTCCGCACATGTAACAGATCAACCAACATTTAATGGATGCTTTAAACTCTAGCTCTCTTGTAAACATAAAATAGTTACCGCGTCAAAAGAGCGAAAGGCTGCTCATCAGGCCGAAGTATTAAACAAAAAACATGCCGAAATCGAGCGTAAAGAAAGAGAAGAATGGTCAGTCGGAGCAAAAGATACTTCTAAAAAAGAAGCTCAAAAACTAAAAAAGGTTTGCTTGTATTGATTCCTTGCACTTTCGTGGAAAAAAAACTCACCTTGGAAATTATTCAGGAAGCTCAATTAAAGAAGAAGAATGAAGCAGCAGAGCTTTTGGAAAAGGAAGAAAAAGAACTTTCAAAATTCAAACCCAAGTTAAAGATAACGGGTGAAGAAGTACGTGTTATCAAATAATTTATGTTTAGTTTGATTTAGTTACATAAACATAACCCAAATTTTCCAAATGATTTGAAGAAAAAAGCCATTAAGAGGACTCAGAAAAACGAAAAGATTACCGAAGAACGACGCGAAATTCCAGAATTCGCTGCGTCTAATATTGATGACGCTTTAGACTTACTATCAATAGCCACCAGCCCTACAAGTGGAGCTTCAACAACACTTAATAATGTATCAAATGTTGGAACACAAATTGAAAAACATCCAGAAAGACGATTTAAAGTATGTTTGGGTGGAATAAAGCTTTTGGTGTTGTTTAAGTTTTTGCTTCATATTGATTAATTTCGTTGTACTTTACAGGCGGCTTTGGCTGTTTACGAAGAGCGAGAAATGCCAAAGATAAGACAAGAAAATCCGGGGTTGCGTTATACTCAATATCGAGATATAATCTACAAAAACTTTCAGGTAATAATAATTAATTGTAAGAATAATATCATATAAAAATGCAACTAGTTAATGTTCTTATTGATTGATATAAAAACAGAAATCTCCGGAAAATCCTTTCAATCAAGTAAATGTTTTACAATATAATGCTACAAGAAAAGAAGAGGATAGTTTGATCGAGACAACCAGAAAGGAGATAGAGAATAGATTGCAAATTTAATTATTTTCTACCGATTAATGATTGTTTCTTTGATTGATCTGTAAGATGTGGTTTTTGATTCCAATTTCCGTGATATCAAACAGATTACCTACATAAATTAATAATAGTATTTCTATTTTTGGTTTTCTTACAATTAAGTTAGGTTGTAACAAAATCAAAATAGCTGTCATTACTAATATGACTTGGCAGTCGATTTGGGGACTTTGATCTGTATTTCAAGGATAAATATGTCTTTTACTGGCAAATTGATGAAAAGCTAATGCGAAAATATTTTAAACTTGCATATTGTACTGTATATAAAGTCAATTTCTTTTAAATCTTAAAATAACAAAAAGTTTTTGTAGAAACATGTTTAATATTCTTTTTCTATTGCGATTTTCAATATAAATATTATTTAACAAAGTTATTTATAAGTTATTAATTTATGAAATCAATAGTTCAATAAATATTTATAAATTAAGCAATTACATAATATTAAAAAAAATAAAATTATTATTATTATTATTATTATTACAAAATCAATTGGTATGATAAAATTAAAAACCCAAAATATACATTTGAACTTGTAAGAAAAAAAAATTTTTTTTTTTTTATTGTAAGCATTTTAATTATATATTGTAATATATTGTGCATGTATACAATAAATCATAATAATTTATATAAGAAATTCCACATAAAAATTTAAATAAAAATAAATACAAAATAATAAAAATAACCAAGGATGTTATGATACTTTATAAAAATAGTAAAATTCTTTTTTTAAAAAAAATTTTAAAATATAGCATGTGCAGTAAATTCAAATTCAAATAAAAAATATTGATGATAAATAATTATAAAATTAAATCAAAGTTAAAATAAGAAACTTGCATCCACTAGTTATAATAAAAAAAATTTCTTTTTAAATAGTCAATTGGTTATAATTATCTCAAATTAAAGTTTTCAACATACAAAAAAAAAATTTTTTGTTTTAAAAAAGATTTTCCCATAAAACATGGATTTTAGAAATTTAAACATTTATAATAAATTTGTATTTTAAAATAAACTTATATTAATTGGAAATTTTCCTAACGGGTAAAAAATCGGTTGTCCGGAAATTATCCAGGAAATTATAATGTATACACAATATACACAATACACAATTATTTGGTTTTGCTAGACGTGAAACTCAGTGATACTATAACGTTATACAAATCGAGAATTCTTCACATTCTTTTGGAAACTTAATGGACAAACAAGTTGCAGAATCGTTTGTAGATTCTAGGATCCCAAGGTAAATTGTTAACATAACTATGCGTTTTTACCAAAAAGAAAAAGTAACCTAATACGTAGTTACTTTGTTAGAAGAGATCGTTCGGAGCGTGATCAAAGATACCTTCCGTCTAGAGACAGGTGTGTATGTAGGATATACTTGATAAATGAATGAATAGTTCGATTAGGCGACACGATTTAGTACAATTTAGTACACATTTCTAAAATTTTAATATCAAACTGACTTAAGAAAAACATATATGTTTGACATATGTTGTTGAAAAAAATTTTAGAGATGAAAGACCGTTACCCATATTATCTAGGGGCAGTCATTATGGTAACCAAAGGCCAAGGATCACAGTGGATTATGATGAAATGGATCGTCCACAACCTGTTGGCCCTTCGTTTGGTGATCGCAGAAATTTTAATAGCATGAGACGTATAGGAGCTTCTGATGGAGGCCCGTCATCAGAAATGGAATATCCACATGAGGTATTTGATATTCGACATTTTTTTGACACATAATTTACTCGTATATTCAATGTGATTTTTTTCTTAAACTCCAATTGAGATTTACATTCTATCATATTGTGGCATTATCAAAGTACGATGAACGCCATATATACCGCAGAGACAATAGATATCGTACCCATGATGATTCGTCAAGATCAGATCCTCGATATCCGACAAATTCTGCAGGCTATGGTTACAATGATGATCGTATATACTCCAGAGACCCGGATCGTTATTCAGGAAGGAATATTTACTCAAATGATCGTGAAAGGCCATGGAGAAGAGATCGCAGATCAAGTAGGGAACGACATTATGATCGTGATAATGACAGAGATAGATTACCAAGTCGTGATTACCCTCAACATCGTAATAGCAACGTTCCACCATATTTCGACCGTGATAACGATTACGGTCCGTATAGGAGAAGACCATTTTATCGAGAGGGGGACCCGGCTGAAGTTGAAAGACTTCGCTTCAACGCTCAAATAACACCTAGCGTTCGAAGAGATCACAACAGATCAACCTCACCGAATAGATCATCAAATGCAAGTTCTCCACCATCACAACCAAGGCGTCAATCCACTTCACCAAAAATGAAATCATCGTCTAGAAATTCCACAGAGATATCACCTTGTCGTGGAGGGCAAGATAGAAATCAAGGCTCTAGCATTCATCAATCTGACAAAAATGAGGAGGTCGAAGATTCCTATTCTCTTAAAGAGCAGGAAAAAGGGACTTTTAGGTCACCAGTATCTCTTAATGACTCAATAATAGGTCTTCAATATGGTGATGAGGTGAGAAAAAGAGGTGATAACGAAAATGGAAATGAAAAGGGTGGTTGGTCAGGGTGGCATAGCATCGATCAAGGAGATTCTGAGATAACTGAAGGGAATGTACAACCATCACATCTATCACAAGGTGAGACGGGTGAAGCTGCTGTTACAGAATTTGATGATAAAATCGGAACCAAATCGGCTCTAGTTGAGGCAGAAATATCTTCATTAAAATCGGAAGAGAAAGAGTTGCCTTTGGAAAAATCTGACGAACAAAAGTCAATGGAAAAGTCCCTTATTGATTCTTGTACAACTGAAAATAGCAAAAGGATAAATGAAGAATCCGTAAACTCAAATGATGTTTCGTTAAACGATATTCCGAGTGACTCAACGACTATTTATACCAATTCGAGGTCACAACGAACTGAGCCAATTAACGAACTCGGAAGAGAAATAGAACAGATAGAAGAGGATCTTGATCATTGGAATAACATATATAATAAAAAGAAGGAATCTATTGCCAAAAAAATGTTAAAAGAAAGGATGGAGAGGGAAACGCGTAAAGAGGAAAAAGAAAATCGCCGAAAGGAGAGAGAAAAACGTAAAGAAGAACGACTGAAAAGGGGCGCAGATGAAAGAGCTCTACGTATAAATAAGGAAGGAAATGAAAATCGAAAACGTACTAGTGATCAGACTCAAAAGAAAAACGAGTTATCTGGAAGGAAAGTCGCAAAACGTGTAAATACTGATAATAAGTTATCAAAGGAATCCGCTTTTTGTGAAAACGATGTCAATGATAATTACGTAGCTGAGTCAAGCGTTCCTTCCAATCAGAGGGCGTGCAATCCTAGTGAAGAGGAAATAAAGAAAATATATAATGATCTATGGGCTGGCATTGGGGTTTCTTATAATAGACCTATATTTATGTTAAATTATAGCCTAAAAAGAGATACGGAAAACAAAAAGATTGAGAAGTTGCAAAAAGAAAGAGAAAATTTGAAGAAAAAATGGTTAGAGAACCAAAAGACAAGCAATAGTGAAGAAAAGGTAAAAAAGGATAGATACAATCGGAACCCGAATTCACGGAAAAGTGGAAGGTTATCAAAAAATGAACATGTCAATAGTGAAAGATTTTCAAAAAATGACTATGTTAATAGTGAGGCAGCTGTCGAGGAAATTGCTAAGCAAATCGAAAAACTACACGAACAGCAATGTCGGGCTGCGAGAATACCGCCAATGATAATAGGTGAAAAAAATAGGAACTATGCCAAATTCATAGATAATAACCACCTGGTCAACGATCCAGTAGTTTTTTACGGTTTCAACAGGGACCTGGGAAAAGAATGGACAGCTGAAGAACACTCGATTTTCATGAAGTATTTCAAATTCACACCAAAGAGGTTTGATGAAATAGCAAAGCACTTAGAAGAAAAGAAAAAGAGTGACTGCCATAATTACTATTATTATTTAAAGAGCAAAAAACCTGAAATTTACAAAGAGCTGAAAAAAGCATCATCTTCTAATAAAGGCGGTGGAAAATCAAAAGAAGATTATAGTGGGAAGATTGGAAAGGTCAATTCGTCAGTTAATCGTAATATTTTGGCGGCAACAAGTCAAACTAAAAGTACGACAAGGAAAACCAGATCAAAGTCAATTGTAGCAGAAACCGGTCAATTAAAAACAGACGAAATTAATACTTTTTTATCAGGGCATCATCAACCTTTTGGGGAAAGCTCTCACGAGAAGGCTGCGACATCAGCTGCACCATCTGCTGATGCTCGTCAAAACGAGGAGGATATCTTAGAGGCTCAAAATGAGAAAGATTTATCATGTGCAAACAGAGCTGTTAAAACTGAAGCTGAAGAATTTGGGACTTCACCGCAACCGGATTCCTCGCAAGTATTCGTGGAACCGAGTTTAATTGAAGTTAAAATGTCGGAATCTTCGTCTACACAGGCTTTTCAAGAGTCAATCCCTAGCATCACAAACGATGTTGATGAAGCTGCTCATGCACTTACATTATTATCGCGCCAGCACCTAAGTGACGAGCCTCACAGCATCTTACAGAAACCTGCAATAAAGGGAAAAAATAAGGCGAAACAGCATGATCCTACAACGAGAATTGAACGACCATCACGAAGCTCGACGCATTCGATAGATGACCCAAACATTCCAAAGAAGAAAGGAACTTCGTCATATTGGAACAAGGTCGACGTGGAAAAATTCAATAGTGCTTTGACGCAATATGGTACAAATTTTAAAAAAATTTCTGAAATTCTTGAAACAAAATCAGAAATTCAAGTAAAAAACTATTATGAGAAACAAATATCATCAGGAGCAATTCAAAAGGCAGTTGAATCTCGGACTGAAAGTCAAATGCATGTAGATGCGTCATCCGTGAAAATTTCTCAGCCTGTTGTCAAGCCTCATGTTCAATCTCCTGATTTAAATCTGGGATCTCCAAACTTTATTCATAAAAATCCTACCGAACTATATAATGGTAACCTTTTAAACGACAAACCGGTACCATTTGATCCTCCGAAGCCGCCTACCCGATCAAGTTCTTCAATATCACACTTATTGAACCCACCAACAGATGAAAGTGTCTCTAACTCTCATGATAATTGGTTCAGTGATTCCAATAGTGGAGATCAACCTGCAGATAATCCAATGGTTATTGACTTGGTGACGGACGATGAACCGGAGACAACATTATCAGAATCTAAAACATCTGGAATTATTTCGCCCGTAGCCAATCCTCACCAATCATCCATTCAGTTTGGTCCCGCCAATCATGCTCCGAGAGTTATACAACGGCAACAAATACCTCAGCAGCAGATGCAGCTTGATATTCAAAGACAGATGGACCCGTATTACGCGCCAATGCAACAACCACCCATTTCGAATACACAAAATCATCAGCAACAACAAAATATGCCCAGGACGAACATTCACACACAACTTCACCCGACACAGAATTGGGTAGGGCCAAATACGCAACAGGCTCAGATAAATAATTTTTTGATACCACCGGTGAATAGACAATCAGGTTCACTTCAACCCGTACCTCAACAAAGGTTATGTTACCCGGCGAATCCACAGCAACCATCCCATCAGGGTCAACATGTTATTCCACAACCACAAAAGACGCCACCCCCGATGTTATATCCCACAAATCCTCCAATTTATTCAGCGGTACAACACGATTATAGTCCACCACGATTTGGCTTAATTGTTTCTGCGGACTCATCGACGAATGTCACTAGCCAAAAAGCTGGTGGTTCTAATCACCAACCAAGTTCTCACGGAGATGCGAATTCTGTAAAAGCAATGCCTCAAATTTCACAGTATCCCCAACACAGAAATTTAGCAAGCATGGAAACATCAAGAAGTTATCCAGTGATGCAAAACCCTTCTACAAGCTTTCATATGAGACCATTTGAAAGTTATAATAATGCGTCAGCCATTGTTGCACCAACGACCTCTCCTGACAGCGTACAAGCTCGACAATCTAGTTATAGAGTTCGTCCATCTGATCAACATCAAGTGGACCACAAGCAAAATTCTGGACCTCCGGCCTGAAACTTGTGATTTGTTACCGTGTGTTGACTCTCTATATTAGTGAGTTTAATAGGTATTTTCATTGACACGTAAAATCCTTCAACGAAAGATCAAAGACTTGTTGGGTATTTTGTTGGATATTTCTGATTTATCAGATCTTTACTATTTATCAAAAATGAATTATTTAAAATTCAATGCTTTTTTTCTTTTGTAGCTAAAGAGCGGTTAGCTGAATTGAAAAAATTGATGTGACGCTTTTTGCATCCAATTGTAAAAAAAAACATATATATATATATATATATAATTATATAAAATATAATTGTTTTTTTAGTTTATTATAAAGTTCACAGTAATGTAAAATTTTTAATTTGATTAAAACAGTTATTCTAAACCTGTATTATTATTATATGCAATTTTTTTTGAAAATGAAATATAAATTTTTTTTAAAGTCAGATTTGGAAAATGTATATATTTAATAGATATACTACTGTATTGTAAAACGACAAAATAAAAAAAATTTGTCTTGATTTATTAATTCGCAGCAAAGAATGATGGTTTAATAAAAATAAATAGAATTTTATTCTCTATCCGTAATAAATATACATTACACTCATTCGATCATTATGCTTGTTCTAAATAGTTAAAAATTATAAAGTACGAAATCTAAAATTTAAATTACTAATAAAAAAGGAAAAACCTATATATATAAATTATAATTAAACTTAAAAATTTTTCCTAATCCTAATTATATATAAACTATAAAAAAATCTCTGCCTTTTTATATACTACTGTCTTTGTTGAATTAATACAGTAAATGATCGGTAATCATGATCTATGGCGATTGGTCAATTTTTATCGATCAATCGTCCCTGTCAAATGTTTGTTTAAAATTTACATGGCTAGAATTCAGGGTCAATTAAGTAAATCAAAAATTGTTTTTTTTTGTCCGACAATGATAAGTTAACTCGTAATAGAATTATCAATTTTGGGGTTAATACCAGCGTGTACTCCACCTTTCTTTATAGCTACGATCGCAAATACAGTCCAACAGACAATCAATAACACACCCATAATCATTATATAAATCGTAACTCTCTTTCTCATTTCTGCTGCAGCAGATTCAGAAAGATTTGGCTCATCCTCTATGTGCATTTGTATCAATTGTCCTTCAATAGGTATTTCTTCTTCTTCCCCACGTAGATGTCCATATATTTTAATATTTTCGTGATCTCCATTACCCTTTCCATTGAGAACACCACCTTTATATTTCTTGTCGGCCCACCAGAATATCAGGCAACTAATAAATCCCAGTCCGCTTATAAAAGCAAACATCCTCAGGACCACTAGATCATCATCTTCGTGATTAATTTCGGAACCAGCTACATGAGTTCGGTTAACATGCGCATCGAGTAATAATCCAGCGATTGTTTGGCTCAACGTAGCGCCAATATTATCTACACTTTTAAGAAGTCCAAGGCCGGTGGACACGTGTTTTGTAAGCAAAGGGATGAGAGTGACGCTAGTAAGCGGAACAACTGCGAATGCAGACGCAAATATTAGGATTGGTGGGAATGGGTGAATTATGCTCGGAGGTGCGAGCAATAATAAAAAGGTGATTAAGAATGCAGCAGAACCAAATATCACTAGAAAAAAAGAAAATGTTAGAATCACCGCCAATAAAAACTATTATCGTAGCGAAGATAAAGCTTACAAATTGACAATCTACAGCCATATTTGTCCATGAATAGTCCTAGAAACGGGTATACTATTACTGGGAGTAATAGTATTATCGATGCATCCCATGAAGCCATCAGATCTGTCATATTGTATCGGTGCATTATTATATTACTGTCAAATGGATTCAAAGAAATTGAACATTTTAATAAAGAAAATAGATTTGATTAGCAAAAATCAATAAAGTTAAACCAACCTTGATAAATGAAGGAATGGAGTCATGGCTGATCCAAATAAAACTCCCACAACTAATGACCACCAAAAAATATCTGAAAGATCAAATATATCCCTCCAATTAACCGTTTTCTTTTCGGCTATGCGCAATTGAGATCCAGTTTGCTTATCATCTACCTTTCTTAAAAGGTAAATGTATACGAGATTCATTACCCAAGACACGAAACATGTGAAAGTAGCTACTATGAAGGGAGTACGATAAGTTAGTGGTGGCATCATAGATAACGGGACAGCCAATATCGTTGCCATAAAGGATGCCTATATTTAAAGTCGAAAGAGTTATATAGCTGGGACCGACCACACGGCAAAAATACAGAAATACACATACTAATCTTCCAAATGTTAATCCAACAGCCAATGCAAATCCTAAACTACTTCCATAGAAGAACTGAACAATTATAGTTTCTTGAACAATTGTTAACGGTGCCAGCCCAATACTACATAGGTAGATAGAAATGGATAAGACCAACTGTAAGATTTAAACGAAATTTTTCATTCGACTTACCCGAACACTATGAATCCAGCAATCATCAATCCTATATTCCCTTTCCAACTGGCAGCTGTTACTATTATCATTCCTATTAGAATTCCGGTAGTTATAATAAGAGAGCTTTTGGTGGTTCCAAAGCGAGTTACCAGCAAACCAGATACTGTGGGTATCACGGTGTTACATAAAGTGAGCGATGCGATTAATAGTGAGAATTGAGTGTTCGTAAGATCAAGTTGCTTTAGGCACAGATAGGCATTATCAAAAAGGAAAAGTTAATAAACTGCCATCAAATCCTAAAAATACAACTTGAAAACTTGAGAAAGCCCAGTTCACCAAAAAAAACTCTCGCGTCAATAATGACTAATACTCTACCTTCATCAATATTCCTTTCATCGGTCCAATAATATGCGACGCGAAATGACTTCCAATGCCAAAGGTGCAGGCACAAGCCATAGCACACATTTTTAATATTTTTCTTGCCTTTTCTATTTTGACCGTTCTTTCACCTCCAGAAATCTGGGGATCGCCGTGCAAATTTTCTTCGAGAGTTGGAGACTTTTGTTTATTTCGTATCAACCACTTGTCTTCCGATATGTCTGAAATCTCGCTCACGTCCAGCGTTGAAAGCGAAGGCTGTGTAAATGAAGGAATAAATTCTGCCTCCTCCTCAGAATCATCAGCCTCCGTTACTGTTTCTTTTGAATTTGCAGAGGGTCTTAATAGTTCCATTGCTTTTTTGCGAGTCATATGATTACGAGTCATCTTTAGCCAAAAATAAGATCTTTTTTTTTATTTTCGCGAATAGTAAAACGATATGTGTGAAACGTTTAATATTAATCATAAAAACAATGTTGTACAAGTCATTGAATGGATCAACGTTCTTTTCCAAATTTATAAGGTCATAGCATTGAACTAAAAAAAATGATACCATTTAAGATCTACAGATCTACAGAATTTTATAATTAAATTTATACCAAGTCGAATATGCATTACTCACCAGTGAGAAAGGAATTTACGTCTGAAGTGTGAATCGTGCGATATATACTACTTACCAAGGAACAATCCTTGGACAATCCGTGTAATATAACCGCCGAAATTTGAAATCGACTCAGAACGAGCCTTCTCTCGAAGAATCCTGAAATGAAATAATAACAGAACATCCACTAATGCACTTTCATTTCATTTTTTAACATTTTCCTCAACGTCACTTGAAGATCCAAGGAAATCTTCTAATGCTTCTCGATCACCAGCCGTTTCAATCTCGACTTGTTCCAACTTAGAAATAATGTCATCATCTGACGAGTTAATTGTACGCTCTGCAAATGAACGTAAAAAAAATAAAAAATTGAAATAATTGAAATCAATACATAAATAGTAATTCTTAATTACCATCATTGTTTAATGACGGATCCATTGCCCGTTTACGATAATTCTCCATTTGCATTTCAAAATTGGCTTGATAGAGTTGTACCTTTTGAGCTTTGTTGTTAAACATGAATTCTTCATAATGTTGATCATAGAGTTTTTTTTTTTCCTCCAATTCTTTGCTAAATAAATAGTAAATCATTTTAACGTCAAAGTTCAAATATTAAAAAAATAAATAAATGAATTTAATGACCAACTTTTTTTCGTCTTTGTATTGGTCAAACACAATAATCTGAGTCTGTTTCCATTTCTCGAAAGACCATACTTCATTGCTTTTAGCGAATTCATCAATCATTTTCTCTAGTTCTGTTAGCTTTCCCTTCAGTGAGACTAATCAACACGAAACATTTAAATCAGGAAAATTAGAAATCATAAGAGTGACCGACTAACATCGAGAAGTAATTTACTTGCTGAGATGGTAGCTTCTTCAATCATTTCTTTCACTTTTGGTAAATGGCCAGCTTCTGATTTAATCAACTCACACGATTCATAATGCTCCTTGCAAGTTTCGACTATTTTCTGGATCAATTCATCTGCCATCTAGCATAAGATTTTGGTAATAATAAGATGATTTTTTGAAAAATTTCGTGGAGATAATTGAAAGAAAAAGTCATATTTAATAACTACTTTTGCATTACGAAAGTTTCTTTCATCTTCGGTCTGAATAGAGTTCCATTCATGCTCGTACCTGAAACAGAAAAACCAAGCGGTTGATATCATGAAATTGATTAAATTGACATCAAAAATTGTTACCTTGTTGCCAATTCAGTTGTAGCAGATAGATCTAGTCGAGGTATTCTGCTATTATTATATTGAGAAACTTGTTATAACGGACGATGAGCGCATGAATAGAGTTGGGAATATACCTAGACGCAGCGGCGGTCGTTAATCTTGGGCTGAGTCCGGGAGTTAATATCCCGACAGATTTGGAATAAATGTTCTCCCATTCACTTTTAACGACCTGTAATCTTTCGTTGAGGATTCATGAATTCAGGATACGCCAAAGATCTAAAGATGTTGTCAAACCTTTACCCTTCTCTAGTGATATTTTTAAGATCCCCTTCGTTGATCCTTCCAAAGATAGATAACTTTGTGAGTATTAAAGAAGGTGAAAGAAAGGAATGGAAATTTTCATGTACTTAGTAGTATCTAAGAGGTCCTTGATGTTGAAGACGGAAGAAAGCTTTCTAAACATTATGGGTACATACAATACGTGGAGAAATTTTTTTTTTTTTTACAAACTATTCAGCCAATCGGAATTTTCTTTCCGAGAATCTAGATTATGTAAAAATGAAATCATATAAATTATTCAAAAAGGCGATTTGGGATCCTTCTCTTCCACATTCCTTTGGTTAATCATGGTAAATTTGATCTCGCATTATCGTTATATTCTTTACATACTGTTCGAATACCTACTCAAGTATGAGTTCGTGAAGAGTAGATAGAATGAATTCAAATGATATTTTTTGTTCTTGAGATGCTTGAAATAAGTCGTTCGTCAAGTGCTAGAAAATCTTTGTTGCTGGGCAAGATTTACAGAAATTATGACAAGTGTGGTACGCTAATTTTTCGACTAAAACAAAATTACATAAACTCTTCGAAATGCTTCATATAGACAAAGGGTACCTCAAGCTTCGGTAAACGTCACACAAAGACTCACACTCTCTGCCGCCGTTGTGGGAGGCGTGCATTCCATAACCAAAAGAAAACTTGCGCACAATGCGGCTATCCCTCCGCGAAGACCAGAAGCTGTTAGTGCTTTCCACATTAATGAAATAAATTGGTTCTGACAAAAAATCTAAATGCAAAATTTGCTTCTCAATGACTTATAATAATAAGATAATTGGAGCGAAAAAGGTAAACGCAGAAAGACCACAGGAACTGGACGCATGCGTCACCTAAAACACGTGTATCGACGTTTTAAAAACGGTTTTCGGGAAGGTAATTGATCAAATTTAATTCGATCAAATTTCAATTCAAATATATATATTAATAAAAGCTCGATTAATTTTATTTATCCATAGGCGCCCAAGCCAAGAAACAAGTAACTCCGGCTGCCAGCTAAATGATATGTTCTTTTTCACAATCATTTATATTTCTATCCTGGTTTCATTATATACCCATGTAACAGGATGCTTCCTAATAAATGAAAGCGTTCATTATTCGAGGTCAGATGTTTTTAAAGGTTGAAAGATAGCCAGTAAAGTTAATAAAACATTACTTGTTATTTGGAAAAAAACAAACTTTTTTTTATCTGTCATTATTGTAATTATTTTTGCGAAAATAAGTGTTTCATACTTGAAAATCAAGATGTTAAAAAATTATTTGGTCATAAAATGCTAAAATAAAATAAATAATTATTAATTATAGATAATATTTCTTATAAATATTTAATAAAACAAACCAATATTTATATATTTTTTATTTAAAGATTTAAGAGTTAAAATTATTTAATAATATTATTAAAATAAGATTCAAAACCAAAAAGCTTTTTAAAAATGATTAATCATTTTTAATAAACTATAAAAAAAACAATTATAAATTATTCAATTATTTTAATAAATAAATTTATTAGATAATAACTAATAGAATAGTATAAAAAATTTTTTTATTAGTAATAAATTTTTTTATTTAGATACTGTAATTATAATTATAATTATTGATTTTTTAAAAAACTTTTCAAGTTAATTTTTAGTTAAAATTAATATATTAATATTTGAACTATAAAAAATAATTTGTATATAATAATAAATAGATATAAATATATATATAGTATAACTAGTCAAAAATAGTATTATTTAGCATATTACTACTTATCAAATATTTGAATATAAAACATTCAATATAATGTCACTTGGCAAAAATTCAATATATATCAAATAATAAAAATCTTATTTTATTTTTATTTAATTTGTATAATAATCAAAAAAAATTTTTTTTTTAAAATAAAAATTTATATTATATCAAATTTTAACTGAATTTTTAGTATTTTATATTTGTGATTAAGTGAAATTATCCTAAATATTTATAAGAATTATATCGATTTGAATTTTTATATATAAATGAAATAAATTAATCAAAAATATTATAAATAGAAATTATATATTCATGTTTAATTGAATAAAATTCAATACTTTATAATTTAACATTTATTTTATTTTCTGAATCAAAATGAAATCTCAAATATACTAAATTAATTGAATTAAGCTATCAAATAATAATTAATTTATAATATATAATATCATTTAAAATTAATTAAATATATAAAAAAAAATTAAACTTGTTTCAAATATAAATCAATACTTTTATTATAATTCACAAATTGAATTAAAACAAATAAATCTTTTATATTTTATAAAAACATAAAAGAATCATGAATTTTACTTTCTATTTGATATTTTTTATATTGATTTGCTTTATTCTAAATAATTATTAAATTATTAATATATATATAAATGGTTTTCAAAAGTTTATTATTTTATATAAATTCTTATAATATTTAACTAATAAATTCAATATTTTAATAGATAATATTAAATTCAAATTTTTTGAATATAATAATTTACCTGAAAATTTTTTTAATTTATTAATAACTTTTCATAAATATTATATATATATTGTTTAAAAATTAATATAATTTATTAATCAAAAACTAATTTAATTTAAAAATTGAATCAATATTTGATTTATTATTTAATAATTTATTAATATCAAATATAAAATTTGATGGTTATTTGATAAAGAACCTATATATTTTTTTTTTTTTTTTTTTTTTTTTACGTAGGTAAACATCATTTCTTTATTTATTTGTATATTGATATATATACATAGTGAAAGAAACAACATCTCTTAGGTGCAAAAGCATACAATAAGTTAAATGCTAGCTTGCCTACACAATCTATATCTAACTAATATCGAAAATAAATTTTAA